GACATGATGGTCCTTGTTCTTCGGCGCTGTCCCGTTCTGGAGGAGCTCGCGCTTCAAATGGTATTGGGACCCCCGAACAGCAATACCGCAGATACTGAGCTGCCAGTATCTCTTCCCCGCCTGCGTTTCTTCCTCCTTTGCGACGAGATGATTAGATGGCGATACTTGAGGCCCAAGCTCTCCATTCCAGAATCGGCTTCCATTCATCCAGATCTCATCCTTCCACGACAGGACATGTATTTTGATTGTTACGATCGCTTCGCGGAGGAGGCAGCGCGGGAGTGCCTGAGCTGGCCGGGATTTCCCACGTGTAGGGTGATCATATTGCATTACCAAGTCATAACCCCGACGGACTCGGCTCGCGATCGCGTCGCGCCAGAGCTAGTGAGAATCGCATTCGCATCTGGCGAGGAGGATGCGTGGGGCGAGAAGGACCCGGAGCAGAAAACTCGAAGATGGACGTTGACCTTTCGCATTCCTGGGCGTGTCCTAGAGACGCGCTATCCACCGGGGCCTCTGGATGCTCACCTCAATGTGAAGAGGATAAACAGCCCTGAGGACGTTGTCGGATCCATATTCCGCGGTATCGCACAGGCATCGGCTCATGCGCCGTTAGTCGACCTCACGGCCACCGAGGTTTTAATAGTCAAGGCTGGCGGAAGGCTACGCCACATGGCCGAGTACCATTCCTTGACGTGCTGCTTTCCCAACTTGACGACTCTTGTCGTGTACGGAGTCTTTGACAGAAATTTCTACGCTCTCAAGGGTGTTCTACGAGAGCTCTGCGACGGTCGTTGGCTGAACTTGGAGCAGGTCCGTCTACCGGATTATATCGGCCAAGATTGTGATTTCGATTGGCTTGAGAAGTTCGTAGCACGCGCCATTAAGTTCTCGAAGTGAGTCAATTTGTATATGCACTGCTTCAAATGTGAACTCTGCCACATGCGTCGGGAAACTTCCATGTATTTGCTAGGTTGATACAGGGCTCGCAACATGGAACACCATTATTCCGAATCAGAGGCCGGCCAATTTGCTCGGTCGTTCCGCATCATCCTATGGTATGTATTGCAAAACTGCCTTGGGATTCCAGCCCTTCGGTGTTTCCCGTGAACGGTTGTATGCAAATGTTTTCACCGTGGGGCCAATACACAAGGAGCTTCCGCACAACAAAGTCGCAATAAGATTACCTCACCCTGCTACGACCATGTGGGTATGGCGGGATTTCTACGACGTCTGGTGTGGAGAACACTAGTGGTTCTCAATAACACTAAGGTGGCCACCTTACTTCGAGCACCTTACTTCCCAGCGCGGGCGTCTGGGCGACCGCATCAATTGGTCGCCGCAGGGTCACAGCCATTGAGATCTCCGCCCCTCCCTTGCTCCTGCCCGTACGCATACCTGCCCAATCTAACCACTCCTCTCCTGCGGCAGGGTGGCGAGCCTGTCGATGTCGAGACGCTGGGCAGCGATGGGCGGACTGCTTGAACGCGACGAGCTCGAGCAACGCGCGAAGAGACCAGGGTGTTATGCCGCGCACGCGCCGATCAAATTGCCGGCTGAGAACGTACTCAATGGCGTCGGCTTCCTGAGTTCGCTGCAGCCTGAGCCTCCTTCGAGAGAGGCTTTTCTCTGCGCCCGGGGTACATGCACTGTGACCTTGACGCATCCCACATGAATATTGTCAGGTAAAGGTAAGGGATACACAGTACTCGAGGGCCTACAAGAGGCAGCGAGCAGGGCACGAGCAAGGGACGACCATTCCAAACGGGGATGGGCTGTGGCGACTAATTGATGCGGTCACCAAGCCGCCCACTGTGAGAAGTAAGGTGGGCGAAGTAAGGTGGCCACCTTAGTGTTATTGAGGTCCACTACTACGATTCCTATGATGACTGCACTGCCCTGGAGAACCTTAATTCCCGCTTTCGCAAACGGTGCCAGGCTCCTACGCTGCATTTGCTTAGTGAGATAACAACCATGTTAGTCATTACAACCAGTGCACATATACTGACCGGTGAGGAACATTTGTATTGAGAGGCGGCCAGACAGGCGCACCCACTGATGTAGCGGTGTTATCGGAAGACGGCGCTGACAGAGCGTGCTACATGGCGACTGAAACTTCTGTCCTAGGAACTGTCCGAAGCTCGAAGAGAGCGCCGAGCGGCAACAACGGCGGTGATGCAGGTGACTCGGAAACCACGTGGTCTGTCCTCGCGTCACCGCCTGTTCGCGCGCTGTTTCCTTTCGCCCTTTACCACGTCTTCCTCCCGCCTCCTCAGACCACGGAACAATTCAATGCCCTGAGGCACACGCTGGCTCTGCGAGATGTCTGTTTCTGTATGTACAGGATCCGGAGCAAGCTTTTTCATCGGTGCACTTCGTGCTCAAGGCTGGACAACCTTCTCGCAGTCGAGCCTTACACTCTCATCCCATGCATGCACCCCACTCTGTGGTCCTGAATCTGAAGACTGTCACTCACATCCTCTGTTATGCCATTTAGTTCACCACTGGCGTGCGTCGCCTATGATATGGTGAACAGGCATGCCTCCGCTTACTTCGGAGTGTCGTCATCGATTCCTAGGTGTCTCCAGCTCACCTGCCAACCACGTATGAGTGCAAGTAGTGTCGAACACCCAGTCAGCTGAGTTTAAAACCTCAGCTCCCGAAGACAGGCGGCTAATTGGTTTGTTCAGGCAGGTATTGGATCTATGATCCTCATGAATCACGTATTGACTTATAGGTCATATCGCTCGTACGTCGTATGGCCATATTCATCAGCATCCATTGCATGCCATGAATTGGTAAGCGGAGTGGACATTGATTTTGTTTTCGGGGGTGACTGACTGCAGTACGTTGCGCCAGGCGAGCGCAACAGATGCTGGACTCGATTTTGTGCTATGATGCACAACTCCGGTTGCGCCGTCAATGATAATGAGCTAGAAACGTGACCGTCTGTGTTGGGCTGTACGTAGGTCGCGAAGCTTGATGTTTGGTCAGGCGTATGCCTTCAACTTGAGATTACGCGGCTTCCGTTGCCTCCTTTCGCAAAGCACCCGGCCAAGGCGCGATACGCGATTTCAACAAAGGAGATCATGTCCTTGAGACTGACGTGGGATGTACCCGAGGACAACAAACTTCACTGAAGGCTGTTTGCAATGGTGTCGAAGGAGCTATAGGCCTCGACGCGGAGTACTGGCGCAGAAACGGCTTCAGGGATGTGGGTGCTAGCTGGCTCGGTTCATATATCTAAATTTGCATCCATACAACGCCCACGCGCTGTAGCCACAGCGCACATTCCTGCAAGTCCTAATGGAGTGTCGACTATCAATGGAGAACGGGATGCGTGGCGCACGCCCTCAAAAGGCTCGCTCACCCTCTAACTATCACCGTGATACTGAACCCTGCCGAACCCGCGCCCCAACCTACGTCAACCGGGGAGCGCTTAGGTGAATGTGGGCACATGCATCCAGGAATGACAATGACATACTCCGTAGCACGACAGCGTCGTCGCGACCCGAGGGCCGAAACCCAATCCCCGACGCGCTGAACGCCCTACAACGACCCACAACCAAGACTTGCGGTGTGTCTTTCGCTGTTGCACTAGGCTTTCACTCAGAGTTCAGATGAAGAGAACGGAGAGAACGCTCGAGGAGACTACGTGACTCATGTTCAACGATACTGACGAGGCCATTGGATGGCAAGGCCTCATGGTCTTCGCCGACTTCATCGTGCGCAATTGTAACGATTTCGGGCAACATCTCTCTCGCTCACTATCGCGGCTAAGTTCTTCCCTACCAATCACATCGGCAACGACCCGTCTTCGACACATTGGTGCCCTCGTCACATGCAGTGCATCCGCACGTCTTTCGGACAAAGTCTGCAAATCACACCCTAATTTCTGCTCGTGATGAGACTTCATTGACTCTCTGGTATTGTATCCGCCCCATATCAGCATCCCTGAAGTCATCGTGAAAGTGTGTTGCCTTGCCCGTGGATGTACCAGCGGCGGTGGCCGAGATAATCGCCAGAGTACCCGGTGTATAGTGCCAAGAGCCCATGATTTCCCTCGGGTTACGGAACTGAAGTTCCGGCGGCGTTGCGGTTAGCGGGCGCCGGCATGGGCACGTGACTCCGCCCGCGGCCGTCGTGTCGCGTCACCGGCGCCACCTGGCTTGTCTCCGACTACCACCTCTGCATTTCTCGTGTCCTTCCCTTCACCTTGAAACTGTACTCTTCTTTGCACCAGTCTCGATTGGCATTCACAGTCTTATGGCCCCACGACTTCCTCGCCAGCGCATGGTATCCTTGCGCCATGACCCAGTGCTTCTGCACCATGGATACTTGTACGGCCTACCCCTTAGTCTTTATGACGGTGTACGACGGCTCACATCTGGTGCCCGCGATAGTATGGTGGAAGACGAAGCTGGCCTCTTTCGATCTCGCGACTGCTTTGGTGAACGGACGAGGGACAGACGACCCAAACAGGGAGACGTGTACGTCTGTCGGTCCAAAAAGCGTGCGACCTGAGCTAATCGGCACCGTGCTAGCGTCTTCGCAAAGAATGATTTCGGGGAGCGATGGATGGCAGTGATCGACCAGGTGTGCTTCATCATCGTGAATGGCGTCGAAACGAAGGCGGTGCGTTCTTTATCTTCACAGCGAATGCATGGCGGCTCACGATGGACAAAGATATATTCCGTGCCGTTGTGGTCCGTTGCCCATCTGTACGACGCTATCGCGGCGGGACAGGTAGGAAACCCCGAGGTGTGAGTCCTTCTTTTCTTTCACGCTGGCGTGCGGCTAACGAAGCACGGCGCGCCTCACTAGCCTGAAACAGCAGCTCAAGGACTTGCCCCTCGATTGGTGGTTTGTGGCGGCTAACCACACCGACATCCTGTACGCCGACGATCAGCTGATCAGTGAGATTTTGCAACAAATCTTCGAAGTCTTAGGCTGATATCTGGATGCAGGCGGTGTCACGCAGGACGACATGGCCAGGCTGGGATATATTGATCCGGAGTTCTATCTTCTCATCCAGGACGTCGAAACTACCGACCTCAAGAATCCTCAGCGTCCGCGGGAGTTTATAATCGCCTCCCGTTTGGATATATCACCGCTCTTGGCGTACTAGAATCCTGACTTGCGTAGTTGCCGGCCTGCTCGCTCTACGTCGATACTGATCCCTTCGAGTTTTGTAATTCAACGCCAATGCCATATACCTGATATCGTCCCGTTCTCATCCGAATACGGCCCGCTACGTTGTCCCAGACTATTCGTCTACCATGCGTATGCGAACGACCCTGCACGATTCTCGGAAGGGCCAGGTAGGGTGATGTGTTCTGGGCTCATACGGCAGGCGGACTTGACGTGCTTGGCAAGCTGAACTCGTCTCGAAAACAACGGCGGGGCCTTGAAGGCGACAACTATCGCGCTGCACACGGCGAGATTCCGGCGATTTACGCCGGCGCATAGGCGGTGGAATACGACACAGACCTGTAGACGTGCCATTCGTCATGAACAGTCGGACAGGAGGTATTGAGATAAATCCAGTGGAGATTCGAACTTCGTCCGCTGTCGGTGGGGTTGTGGTCTGTTCTCAAGAGTGCGGATGCTGCCCAGACAATGAGCTATAATTATAACGAACATGGATGCGATGGGGCGGACCGAATGGTGTTGACGGTACGTGTTGTACGTATCGATGTTGACTGATATATGTATTTGTGGCGGTAGCTTGGTGGGTGAGACAAGAACAACCAGATATGTAGCTCACCGCTCAGAACCATCTCAGCCACTTGGCGAGACGTACCTGCAAAGTCCAATGAACAGATTGTATTTACAGCCATCATCTGTTCGCTCCCTACTGGCCGCAGCCTTCACATGTCGGAACAGCACGCTTCTGTACGCATATGGTCCTCGAAATCCCCACCCCACTGCTATTCTCGACGTCTTCCTCACTGCCATCATCTAGAGCAGCGTATCTGTCGTCAGCTACACCATGGCCATTGGCATACTCCACACAACTGCGAATCAACGGAGGTCCGCTATCGATAGCTGCGTCAATCGCCTCAGCGTCGCTACTAAGAGGGAGAGTATGGAGTATGTACGGATGTTGCCTTTGCGCCCCTCCTGAGGCACCGTTCTGGCCCACGAATGGACGTACTCGCGCGACGGCGTGCCGTGTCATCTTGCCTCTCCCGCCCACCACCGGCCGCGCTCTCGCGAACGCCTAACTGTCTACCCAGCGAGTACTTTACGACACTCTTATTTGACTACCCAACTACGTAGTCTTGCTCAACTGCGGCATGCACCTTGCACATGCTTTGCGCTCATCGAGCACAAAATCTTGCACGCACTTTCTTCGATACGATTTACTTCCTTGCTCAAAGGTCAACGCTTACCTACCCGAGCTACGCCGACACCGCTTTACGAACCGCAGTCGACAAATCGCTACGGCTCTAACGAAGAGCGACCCAACACGAGGAGACAGACTCGGGATAGCGGAGCAGATCACGGACTAGGCGGGGAACGAGGCGAAGAGGGCTACGAGAAGACCGGGCGGACACGCGAGCACGGGTGTGCTTGTGTTGGAGAGCTGGGCCGCGGGGGCTGTATACGGTCGTGCAGATGGACTCATACGGTCGCGACGTTGCTGGGTGCGCTTGCGGTATCGGTTGGATGCGTCGGGGCGCGGTCAGGAAGGCGGAGGTGGGGAGGGTTGGGT